ATCGAGTCCCACATCAGGCTCCCTGCTGAGCGGGGAGCCTGCTTCTCCCTCTCCCTCTACCTGCCGCTCCCCCTGCTTGTGCTCTCTCTTTAATAAAAAATAAAAAATCTAAAAAAAATAAAATTCTAAAAAAAAATAAAAATAAATAAATAAATAAATAAATAAATAAATAAAAGGGACCCAAAATATCATATAATTTGGCCCCTTTGTTTAAAGATAAAGAAACTTCCGTCCAGAGAGCGACTGCACAACTCTCCCCAGCTGTGCAGCTTGCTGATGGAAGGAAGATTATGACCTTAAAAAAAGGACTGGTGAGCAGAGCAGGTCTGTGAACCAAGTGTGAGACAAACGTCGTCACCAGAAGTCCTTGGTGGGTGCTAGAACATTCAGCCGTAAGCCGGAGGTACAGCTTTCCAAGTATAACTGAGCACGTTTTTATCCTCCATTATATCCTACTGGCACTGACATACCTTGATAAATCGAACAGACTTTAACACTTCAGATAAGAATAAAGTTGCCTTAGTATGACTTGTTTTTAGTGAACCATACGGCTACTTGTAATAAACTACAACCATTTCCAAGTAATTAGTAAAAAATTTTGAATAAGCCAGTCTGTTTTCCAGTTGGTGGTTTCTACAATCCTTTTGAAAAATTAGAACATGCCCCTCACTTCCACTCTTGTGATATTTCTATTTTTATTCAATAAAACAAAGTGGGTGTTTTATAAACACAAACAAACCCAACCATCTGAAATTTTAAAATGTACCTAAATAACAACTGAGCCAATGGACTATTTAGAAAATGTGCAGGAAAAACTTTGATGCTATTGCTATAATCAGAGGCAAATGTATAGCTTTAAATGCTTTTATTGGGAAAGAGAGGGAATGAATGAGTGAATGACTGGATGAATGAAGGAATGAACCAAGCATTCGACCTTTGGGAACACAAGAAAGGAAATAACAAGAAAAATATAAATTAGAGTATAGAGAAAAATGAATACAGATAAATTGAAAACTCTTTGACAAAAATATAAACAAGCATGTACAAAATTTGATCGGAAAAGGAGTAAAATAAACAAATATTAGACATTTAATATCAGACCTAAAAAATAAATCCTTAGATAGAAAAGAAAAAGCCTGGGATGGTGTCAAATTTTGGATAAGAGGAAAGGAAAATCTCCACCATTGTGGAGAGTTTTTACAGAGGTGATCATGTGATAATGTTTTTAAGTTTTTTGTTTTTGTTTTTTTTAAGCTTTAGAAAAGTTTTAGAAGTTGAATGAAAACAGCTCATGACACTGGCAATTAAGAAAGCATTGGAGACGCTAGAAGCTCTTTCGGTAGAGTATGCATTAGAAAGCAAGAGGTCAAGTGGGTAGGAAGAGACAATAAGAGCCACCCATTTTTAGAATTTGGGAAACTGATCCAACAGTGAAGTCAGGTTGGGTTCTGATACAGGTGTTCTGAGGATTCTTGCATCTTCAGAAAAATGCCCCATTGCTACTGAGTTAACCTGCTAAATGAGGTTGTGCCAAAAGTAAGGTCTTGGCAACAACTTCAAAACAATCCCTCCTATATGGTACTATTTTTATTGTTATTTAATAATAGTATTTATTAGACAGTAATAAGGAAAGACTTTGATTACACAAAATTAGTTACTCATTAGATTTGTTTAATGTCTTGTTAACTCCACAGTTCTCTTACTATTTATTTCAACACTGTTGACACATTGCACTCCATTGTTAGTCCAACCCAGTATTCGATGTCCATCAGATCTCTGACAACTGCATTAATTTTCATTAATTTAGCACACATGACTTAATATCATACATCACAGCCAGTAATAATTGTTGCAAATTGATTAGGATTTCTTGTAAAGAATGCCGCTACTGATATTTAAGATCTGTGTTAGCTACCTTTGGCCAAAAAATTATCATCCTGCAGAACAGACAGACTGTGGATAACGTGCTTTCCCTAGAAGTATATGGTTTACAGTTGTTTATATCTGAAAAGATGTAGTGTCACCTTCAGTAGTTGTTTTGAAAAGAAAATATTCTGGAAGCAGTGGGTAGTGGATGAGGGGGAAGTTGGTTGAAAACAAAAAATTTTCAAAAAAGGAAAACAGTGTTCATCCCCTTTTAAGAGCTATTCAGATGAAAAATTGCTCGGCATGAGCTTGATCTATATGTTTTTCGTGGTTATTAGTAGTAATGAAGATGCATTAACCATATTCTCTTGATAATGCTCTAGCAGTTTCTTAGTACTTCTATCAACATATAAATTTTACAACTGGCAGTGTGGGAATTTGACTAGTACATTTTTGTTTATAAAAAAGGGTAACAACATTATAACTTCTTCATATCTGTGAATTATGAATCTTCACTTGCAAACAAGCAAAACTAAAATGCAATAGAACTTCAGTATCATAATAGCTCTTCTTCCTACTGCCACACACAAGAAATGGGAATACATGCAGGCTGCTGAGTAGAATACAGTGCCAGAGGTGAATGCCTTACTTAATCTACAATTTATGAGTTCTCTTCATTTCATTCATTCTTTTTTCAGTAAACATGTATTGAGTGCCTTCTCTGTTGCAAGCTGTAGTGTCTGTAAACTAAGAATGCTGTACTTCATTAGGAAGCAGCTGGAAACTGGAAGTAAGTGGTGCATAATCACTATATACCTTATCTCCATTAGGAAACGTGATTTTCAATAATTTTTGGAAGGGCATTAAATCGTTCAGTTCTTTAAAGATAAAATGATGCAAGGAGAATCATTTGAAAAATGATTTTTTCACATCTCATTGAGTTGTAAATGAATAGATCTTTCTCTTATAAAGCTGAATTCCAGGTTTTAAATCTGATTTGTCCTATCTCCAAAGTAATGTAAGTCTCCAGTACCTAGCCCATAATATTAGCTAGTACCATTAGAGAAAAACTTTATGAAAGGAAGAAGCATAGTGTTCTTTTTATTATAGAACTATGGATCAGTTCTGTCTTAGAGCTATATCTAGTAATGCCAAGGATACAGCTGTTATATAAAACGGAGCAGAATTACTACCTAAGAGCTGCCAGGTAGATCTGAGAGAAGGAAATGATAGTAAAATTCAAATTAACTCCAATCAAGTAAATGTATCCCTCAAATTTGATTTTCATTTTCCTCTTTTCTGGAAAAAAAAAGCAAAATGAGAGAAAATAAGCTTCTATTAATGATGGGGACAATAAAAATACAAACTTTGATACTGTCATGGAATCAGACTACCATCTACAACTAAAATAACTTATAATCATATCTGGTCTTCAAGATAATATCCCTAAGACACTTCAGCATTATGAATCATCTGGGAGGTAGTCATTCAGTAGTCATTCCATTAACAGATGTTTACTTGGTGTCCTCTGTTTGCTGGAGAACAGTAACACAGATGCCGGTGAACCGTGGCAGCCGAGCGAGGAAGTGTGTGAGAGGAGGTGTGCTTAGGGAGTTCGCTGCTGCTGAGGGGAGGATAAAGTAAGAGTGGGCTGTGGGCTCTGCAACGTGGAGATCACTGGGGACGGGGAAGAGAGGTTTCTGAGCAATGTCAAGGAGGCCACAACCAGACTCTAGTGGGCTTAGGACCGAAGAAGCCGAGGTAGCACGTAAGACAGCTTTTTGAAAAAATAGGTTGTGATGAGGGAGAGAAGTGGGACGGTAACTAGAAAGGAATGAGGGTTCAAGGATAAGTTCGAGTGGGTGTGTGTATGTGTGCACATGCACAAGTTCATAGACCCATACACACACAATGGTTGTATGCTAATGGGAATGACACATAGAGAAGGAGAAAATGATGATTCAAGAGAAGGAAGTGCAGGGGCAACAGTCTCGAAAGATCACAGGATGGGATCCAGAGCCCAAATAGGCTGGCTGTGGCTAGGAGCAGGGACTCTTCACTGTACAGGTGGAGAGACTTAGACTACAGGTAGGTGCAGCTGCCTTTTAACAAATATTTATAAAACACCTGTTATATGCTAGGCAATGGCAATATAGCAGAGAGACAAAAATCCTTGTCTTCATGAAACTTTCATCTGAACAGGGATTGGAGGAGATGGACAAATAATAACCAATCGAGTAAAATAGATCGTATGTCAGATGAAGCAAAGTGCCACCAAGAAAAGCAAAACGGGGGCACCTGGGTGGCTAATCAGTTAAGTGTCTGCCTTTGGCTCAGGTCATGATCCCAGGGTCCTAGGATGGAGCCCTGCATTAGGCTCTCTGTTCAGCGGGGAATCTGCTTCTCCCCCTCTTCCCCTCCCCCCCCCGACTTGTGCTCTCTCTTTCAAATAAATAAGAAAAAAAAAAAAGGTAAAGCAGGGCAGTGGGGAAGGAGAATTTGGACAGCCAGGGCTGGTCAGGGTGATGAAGGTGGATTGCAATTCTCAGGTAGTAGGCCATTCTATATAACTCTTATTGAATTTATTTTGTGACTCTCAGACACATTTATTTTTCAAAATCACATTAAATGTGGCCTAATACCCACACGCCAGGGCTTGTGGGAAGTCTACTGTCCACTTTGTTTCATAGGTGCCGCCTTCTGTGAGTACCCCAAGGCTTGCCCAGCCCTGTACCTCTCCTTTAGAGTCCTCATCACAGGTTTTAACCTTGCTTTATTATGTGATTATACATTTCTTCCCTCCTAGATTGGAAATTCCAAGAGGGGAACTGTGTCCTGGACAACTGCATCCCTAGAACCTAGCACAGTGTTAGCACAACATAGGTCCCATTTGTTGAATGAATGAATGAATGAAAAGTAAAAAGACCTTTTTCCATATGCTACCTCTTGAAGAATCTTGTTTTATTATTCTGTGATCACTTTTAAGTTCTCACTTCGCACTTTGTATAGCTGATCTAGTAAATGGCCTTTTTCGAAGCAGGTAAGATATGTTTTTATAGCAATGGAATATGTGAAATAGGGTTGTTCTCTAACTTAAGTGATGTTTCTCCACCTGATTTTTTTTTTTTTTACAGAACCAATGCCAAAGGTGCTCCCCTGAATATAAATAAGGTCTCTAATAGCCTGATTAATTTTGGAAGAAAGCTGATTTCTCCAGCAATGACCGCCCCAGGCAGTGCGGGCGGCCCTGTACCAGCAGGTGGTAGCGGCAGCTCGTGCCCCACTGGGCTTCCCGCCATGGTTCCCGCCGTGGTTCCCGCCAGGACCTTAGCAGAGGTCCCCAGGCATCATTTGCAGCAGCAGCAGCAGAGACTCATGAAATCAGAGAGCATGCCTGTGCAGTTGAACAAAGGTGAGGAAAAAATAGCGACAAATGTGAAGAAACCACCTGCAGTGTAGCCTGGGATTTCCTCACCTGCCTGTGAGGAACCAGCCTCCTAGAAACAGATTAATGCAAAACTGAATCGTAAAAACTCTGTTATATTACATCCTTTTTAAGTTGGAATATCAGATACTCTAGTGTTCTTAATAGGAATGTGTTAGCAGGTGATTTGTTAAGGTACTTCGTTAACGTGTGTATCCTAGCATACTTGGCATTTGAGTCCCGTGGATGCCCATAGAGTACGGCCCAGACTCACAATGCAGAAGTTGCAAGCGGTTGACCGTGATCCTGCTAACGTTGTGTCATGGTGCCTCTGGCCAGAAGAGCCGGAACTGGGAAGTTCCAGCAGCATGGGCTTTCCTAGTCAGTAGCAGCCCCCCACACCGTTGGTGTTGGAGGAAATGTGCCCCTGTGCCCTCGGGCTTGCAGCCAGTCATCCAGCTGCTTTACCCCTGAGGAGGATCACTTAGACCCTTCCGGGGGCAGCAAAGCTCAGTGGATCTGCAAGCAGCCGAAGTGAATGAGTCCACACACTAAGATTTAGGGCCGTAGAATGTCGGAGCAGCACCTTTGCGATGCTTCATCCCCCACGTGAATTTTACTTGTAAGACAGCCCTTCAGGTTCTTACTCAGAACCTTTATGCTCTTCTTTTCCACGATTTACAGAGAGCTATGTATTAAGTACCCCTATTCATAGCAGATTAGAAACAGCTGCATTTATTTTTAGTGGTGGGACTCTGCTATCTATACTATAGAAGCAGGAAATAGTAACATGATGGCAGAAAACTGACAGAATTCAATCCTAAGGCCTCACAAAGCACAGAGTCTGTGGCCATTTAGTGTCGGGACAAATATCCTGACCCAGGCCTCCTTCACGTCTTAAAGGGATCCCCTGTTGTAGTCATGTTCAGTAACTGGTGTTGAGACTAACCATGGTGCTATTGGATCAGTACGAAGACCTTGTTCCATATACTCTGTTTCAGAAGATTGCATCCAAAATTATTAAAAATTTTAAATTATTGGCATTTCAACTGGTAAACTTAAACGGACTTTATTCCCCAATGGCACAAAATAATGAGTATTATTCCATAATGAGTATATGTTTATTCTCCCGTTACATGGTGTTATCATTGCCTATATGAGGTATTAGACTTTATATATAGTATATAAGTTTCTATTAGAATATTCAGTTTGCCTTACATAAGATTATCTCGTTTAAAACTACATTCTTTTCTTTTTAATGTAGAGTTATCACACATGATTTAAAGAAAAGAGGACTTCAGATCATTAACACATTGTAAATGTATTTTAATGCCAGGAGACATGCCCACTTTCAGAATGGAAATGAATGTTATTTTATATATTTCTTAATTGTACTGTTTTATTGTTCTAACCAAATATGATTTCAGTATTGCTTTGATAACAAGCCATAGTCAGTAGTAATTCTAACTGATGGCAGGCAAATGAGTCAGAGAATCTCTTAATGCTGTAGCTTAAATTTTCTGAGGAAGCAAGCCAAATGACTGTAGAAGTATGAAGTTGTATCTCTAAGGAAATGTCAAGTATTAATATCACAGTAAGTGAGAAAGGAAGTGCATGAGGATGGAACAATTGATGAAAACGAAGTCCCCAGTTATAAGGAGACAGCAGAGCACTTAAGCAAAGTATTTGGAACATGAGTATCACTAGGGCATTTTGTAACTGATCCCTGTGCTGAGAGAAAGTCTCCTTGTTTGGCAACTCTTCTTTTTATTTCTGGTTCATTCTTCTCATGTCAATCATGAAAATCTTGCCTACCTTCATCTTAAAGGTAAGTATTCCTGCTACTGCCCCTCCCCACACAAAGGTTTGAAGGAGACGGAGTAAGAGGCAGAGAGAGCAGTTGATGCCAGTAGAATCCAGTGTAGGTTGCTGCTCTTCTCTCGTGACTCACCCATGAAGTGAACCGTGAGCACAGTCCCTGCTGCCTTCTGACCACGTGCTTCCTCACCCTGAAGTGAGAGGTTTGGACTGCTCCCAGGGGAGCCTCCCAGCTCCAAACAACTATCAAGATGTATTTGTTAACGCTGCAAGGAAAAGTACTTCTCCGACATTGGTTCTTTACGCTGGTGTTTCCCACAAGTATCCTGCTGTGCTGTGACAGTGACAAATCTGCAAGTGTGTCCCCTGATCCCAGAGATGGGTGAGCATAGTCTGCAGCCTGTCAGGAGGCTTGTGTTGGAATATGGCTTCTAACTATCTCAGAACAGTCTTCTACTTGGTGCCTTTGAGGAGAGAGAACGAATTAGCCCTTTTAGTGTACTCTGCTGGAAATTTGAAAGTTCCTTTGAAAAATGGTTGTTTCTAAAAATGAAAATGCTCATAGTCTTCATAGGTTAGTTAGCTCTCGATGATTTGTGCTTATGTAGGGGAACGGTTGTAGGGAAAACCCAAAATTCACGTATATGTTCCCGGAAATGCAAACTCGTTTTGTGTATGTGTTGGGAGCGGGGTCGTGAAAGAAAGAAGAGGGAGCACAAATGTTCCTCCATAATTTTCTGGTGGTATTTAATATTAAAATGAGTTTTCAGTCTCTAAATACACACCAATAGGTGATCCAAAAGCAGCAGAGAAAAATGGAAATTTTTCCATTTTTGGAAAATTGAATCGAAAATCTCCTTCAAATATATAAAAAAGAGACACTCCATTTATCAGTGAAAAGAGAGTTAACTCTATTATGAAAATTCAGGACCTGATAAACTCTGCTAAAAGCTGCTTATTGCTGTTTGGAGTGTGTACCTATTTATAGATTTTATTTCAGTTACAGGAGATATATATATATCAAAATGTATGTACTATTAATTGATGGGAACTATATGATTACAACCCAGTAATTTCCAGATGAGCTGGCTGTGCTGACAGTTAAAATTGTAGCAAGTGGTCAAGGCAGTGAGGGTGTGTTACATAATTCAAAAACGGAGTTTTTACTGTTGTATAAAAGCTACAGGGGAAGGAAGTCTGTTAATTCTACATTATCAAACATGGAAAATACCGTGTCTTTTAAGAAGGCTTGGTTTTTAGCTCGTTAACTTCAAAATAGCTCGGGCCTTCAGATGCTGAGAGTCGGATTCTGTTGACCGTGACTGTGCCTGGTGTTGAACTTGGTCATCCAGGAAGGAAATCAGAGAACCGAAGTCTTCCTTCTCAGTGGGAGTGTGCCTCAGGTTCTTCACAGAATTGCCTGTTGTGCTCCTTTTCCTTTCTTTCCTGCACTTTTAAAATGCACTCCTTTTCTCCCCATTTCCTTTGAAGTCGAACACTTCTTTATTTTGAGCATTTCCCATAGGTCCAATTTGTGAATGAAATCTTGCCTATAATAAGTATATCAAGTTTAAAGGGTGTGCAGTTCACAGATTTAGTTTTACATGTTAACATTTGTAAGTACATGTAACTTAGGAAATCTTTTCAGTACTTACTATGAAATTAGAGCTTGTTTAGGTATTTATCTTATCACTGAAGAAATTGGTTTCATGTTGAGTTAAAAATAATTTCTCTCTGTTACAGGAGGAAATCAGCTTCAAAAGAATGCCTGCTTAATAAATGCATATAACTTATTTTGGATTAAGAATTTTTTTTAAAGAAAGAAAATATTATACTACACTACTGTTTCTAGCGTAATGAAATCTCAGCAAAATCTTTTGATTGCTCAAGTTTTCCTCTGCTTTAGACTAGGGGCAATTTGTTGTTTTGTTTTGTTTTTTTCTTGAAGGAAAACATGCACAGAAGCTTTTTAGGGAACACTTTTTAAAAATTATTGCCTTTAATATTTTATATTAATTTTTCTGAGATTGTATTTTGTTTTATTGTACTTTTAGTAATTAGATTGATAAAACTATTAAGTATGAAAAAAGTAAAGTTGATTTTTTTTTTCCTTTTTATGAAATCTAATTATTTTTTCTTATGAAATGCAGGCGATGTAGTTACAGGAAGCGATGCTCAGGTTTCTGTTCCTGTCCAGACTCTAACTGACCTCCAAGGTACAGTTACCATGGCAACGTAGTATATCTCTTTGCCTGCAGTATTATCATTGCCTACTCCAAAATTCCATTTTTCTTTTTGCCCACCCTCCATTCATACTGTTGATCAGTTCACTACCATTGTTCAGCCACTGAGTGGCACTGTTGTTCAGAACAAAAGTCCCCTCTCATGTCATACCTTGGTGGTGCCAAATCTGGCTGTGATGTGGGTTTTCTATGAAGTTTGCACCAGCCTCTTTTCTTGCAAAATATGGTCACTCTATATTATGTGGTTATTTTAACACTGCGTTTCATTTGGAAGGTCACACTGAGGTGTTCTTTTTGTTGCATAGGTGCTTTGTGCCAGTGTTTAACAAATCAGTTTTGAGAGTAAATGACTTATATATTGTTTGGATGCATATTGTTGTATGTATTAGCCAGAAATACTTACTATATTTTACCTGAAAGAATTATAACTTGACTTTGAAATAATTGTTTAAGTGCAGGCTTTGTATTTTATAAAAAGAAAGTACAGGATTTGTATTAGGAATCTTATTAACAGAATCAAAGTCCAGTGTGACAAATCTCTGAGTAGTAATTGGCAGTGATTTAAAATAAAAAGATCACATTTAAATACCTTCTTGTTCAAAATCTAGAAAAAGGTTTTTTTCAGGAATACAAAATAATAGTAATTTACATTTAGCACCTCCTTTGGAATATTTAGATGTGTAAATATTGAAGTTGTTGCATTAATCTTTTATTATATAATCTTTTAGATAAAATATGCTATGAAGAAGATTTCTGTATTAAGTGGAAGCCTAGACTGACTTTAAGAATCTCCTATTCAGGGACACCTGGGTGGCTCAGTTGGTTAAGCGTCTGCCTTCGGCTCAGGTCATGATCCCAGGGTCCTGGGATCCGGTTCCGCACCAGGCTCCCTGCCCAGCAGGAAGTCTGCTTCTCCCTCTCCCTCTGCCCCTCCCCCTGCTCAAGGAAATAAGAAAAAAAAAAGTTAAAAAAATCTGAGCGCCGCCCCCCCCAAACCAGGCAACTTTTTAACAAGTGTTTTGATATCCCAAAGTTAGTTTGCTAATAACTCTTTAAACTTAGTTTACTGCAAAGTAGATCTTTGGCTGTGGAATCTCAGTTTATACGTATGGAAAGAGAAAGTTAAAGGTCGTCTGGCTTATTCTGACTTCTGCTTCTATGCTATTGCTCTGTCCATTTTTTCCTACAGACCAGAGCCACGGGAAGTTTGCTTTTTTAATAGCATCCTGAAGAGGGGGGTTATATCATTTTGTTCAGATCGCTTGTGTTATATAGGTAGAATCATCTTACTCCTTTATTCACCAAGTATTTGTTCAGTGCTTACTGTGTGCCAAGTTCTATTTCTCACTGGTCTCTTGGCTTTCCTTATGGCTTTACCGGGTTGCTTGGGTACCAGCCTGTGCGTTAGATGACCCAGGCAAGCATACACAGTTAGGAACCAGCTCTTTTTCTGGATGCCCAGTTCAGAATTCCTCCTGCCTGCTGTGCTCTGACAGAGATTGTATCAGCCTGATAGGGGAGGCTCCAGCTGCTTTATGAGACATGAGGCCCAAATAAAAAGCTTTCCATCTGTGATGATGATTGTGACAACGATGGTAAGAAAATGAGACAATGCCAACCCTGATTTGGAGAAGTCACTTTGTGTTTTCCTCAACACACTTCCTGCAGAGTGTCAAAAAGCAAGGGGAAGTAGAAGTCAACCAAAATAGTTAGTGGTGGCAACAAAAAACTTTCTAACAGTCTAGGCTTAATAGGATCGGTAATATTAATAGTTGGAGAACTTCATCAGAGGCGCCACACCCGTTATACTCTCGTATATAATATTTTAAGAGTAGATACACTTGTAAGGGAAATAAAAGTATCATTTAGACTTTCCCAGGTATCTTTTTTCAGAGTAATGGAGTATATTTCAAGAAATGAAGTAACTCAATTATTTCAGTGATTCTTTGATTATATGTTTTCATGAGATTTTATATTTGTGTCTTTGCCTTTAAACCACAATTGTATGGGCTTTATTTATTTTTTTTTTGAAGAAAAACGCTGACTATATAATGAATTTGCATAATTAAAGTCAATAAAAATAGTGTTTGCAAAATTATTGGAAAGTTCCATTTTACATCTCTCAGTGCAGGTTGTAGTCATAAAATATGTGCCATGGGAGAATTTGTTTGTGAAGACTTAGCTCAAAGAGTTTCCTGAAAATTACTTTTGGAAATTGCCCACCTACCCCAGAAACTTTTTTCAAGAGATATTTAGGAACCACAAAGCTTTAAAAGATGGGTACACACACCACACACACACATTACTTCCAAAGAGAATTTAGAATTTCCAACCACAGAAGTATACAGCGATTATCACCTAATGGACCATTAGGAAAGAAATTTAGATTTCTTAAGTTATTGCCATAAGCGTTTTTAATATACTTGTGTGTAAATACTTATGTTGCAGATATGAATATACATACATACATGCACACAATAGATATCATTGTATAGCATTTGTCAGGTTGTTTTTAAAAATAAAAAAGGGAGAAAAAGATCAGAAATCTCCCTGCCCAGATAACCATCATTGACATTTTTTTTTTCTAAGGGTGGGGAGGGGCAGACAGAGAGGGAGAGAGAGAATCTTAAGCAGGCTCCATGCCCAACATGGAGCCCACCTCAGGGCTCGATCTCACAACCTGGGATCATGACCTGGGCTAAAATCAAGAGTCGGACACTTAACTGACTAAGCCACCCAGGCACCCCCACTGATGACATTCTTAAGGTGAAACTAAAACAAAACTAAACCTTAGGCCATCCCAGTTAATTAAAGCCATTACATAGAAAAAAACCCTCTGTTTACTCCTCCCACTTGTTTCTGCCATCCCATTTCCCTAAAGGTAACCATTGTTAAGTTTTTGGTAATTCCTTCTAGGAAAAAAAAAATAGATTTTAAATGGAAGAATAACGTGGAAGTCACATGAGCGCAGTAACAGCCCCCATGTCCGGAGTTGACTCTCCTCTGGACCTATAAGAACAAAGCACTACCAGAAATGCCCCGGTGCAGATGACAAGCAACAAATTGGTAGAACAACGAAAAGAGAGGCCACATTAACTAGAGTAGAACATAGTGAGGATCACACTAAGAGCTCCTACTCACAGGAGTGAGAAGAGAAGAGAGACTGAGGAACCAAAAGCTATCCTCGTGATTGACCCTATGTTGGCCACTCTGCTTCTTGATGAGAAATGATAGTCGTGAAGCAGGACAAACAGTTCCATTATGTTCTGGATAATCACTTTAAGCAGTCAGAGAAACATATGATATGTAAAACAAATTTGGAGAAGCATCAGTTAGCTAGAAAATGGTTTGTGGAACACTTATTTCCAGAAGACATTGAATAAATGATGAGAACAAGGGCAGAATTTGCCCTTTACTTTCAAAAGACCTCATTCCGTTTTTCTTTAACTTGAGGTCACATGTACTACAGCCCACCTGGCACAGCCCTTATTAGGGGCAGAGGGGAGTGCAGCTTTGCCCAGCATGGGCTCTGGAGTTGGGTCTGGGTTTAAATTCTGCCTCCATCACTGCCTTGCCAGATGACTTAGGGAGGTTACATACCCTCTTATCTGGGAAGACAAAAAAAGAACAGCTGCTTCAGGGTGGGTCGTTGGAAGTTACCCCGGCGCCTGTCCCACAGTAAGGACTCAAGAGTGCTACCTGCTCGGGTAGTGGTGGTGATGATGCTGGCACCATTAACGTGTTTTGTTCAAATCCCTCTGGTTTTCAGAATCAAATTATGAAAAAGCCAACTCAACACCTCTGTCTTTCCTTTTTTTAATCATTACTTCTGATATCCTATAACCACAGGTTTGCATGTGGGCACCTCCAACAGTGCTTAGAATAGACTGTGGTCAGACTAGAGCTGGTCTATTCCAGGGGCTTCAGGAGTACCCTGCTTCTGTTCACTGTCCTGTGACACCAGGATGTATGATGTATGTTTTTAATGTGTAAACATCTGTCTCCTTGCTGTCTGTCTGTCATTCAAGCCTGTGAGGTAACAAAATGTCACCAGATAGGGGCCAGAGGTATCTCATTTTCTCCTAGGTCATTGAGTAAAGTCAAAGTGATCCCCTTTCCGTGGCCACAGCACTGGGCTTCCCAGGCCTTTCCCTTTTTGCTCTTCCGAGCTATGCCTCCCCACCAACGATCCCCAGGCTTCCTAGCCTTCTGAACATTTTGCCTTTGGGTGTCCTGTGTCCAGCTCCTCTGGCTGGTCTCAAGTTTACAGGGGTTCTGCCTGTCCATGTAGGAATACCCCTCAGCCCCTGTTCTTATTTCCCTTTGAGTTTAGTGAGAGAAAAATCACAAGAATATGATGGCGCTCAATAAATATTTTCTCCCTTTCTGCCTTTCCTCCCTCCTAGCCGTTCTGTAGTGGGGGCTCTTCATGAGGCCTGTGAAGCTCAGTCAGCTTGGGCTCTTGACAAAAACCTCCACTGACATTTAGCACATGGGACACAAAACTTTCATTGGATGTTTCAGAGAGGGAAAGATTTAATGAAGGAAAGATTTAATATACCTAGACACATGCATATTTAGTCCAAGTAGCACCTTTGTGCACTAGAAAAAGCTACCCCTTCTGTGCAGATGCAGCTTACAGCAGGGTGTGCATCTTCACAAGTGGAACAGTAGAGCAGGTCCCGGATGCCAGCCACCCCACTAGGCAGTCTCCTGTATGGCCTATGTGGTCATCCTGTGCTCAGAGCTGGGTCACTAAAGTCACTAAAGGGAGGTGCAGCCAATGTAAGAACAGTCCTAACGGGAGAGAGGACTAGCAAATCTGCAACCCACGGTACCGCATATTAAACTCCCTGCTCTAGATTTGAGAGCCACCACTGTGCTAGTAATGGTTTCTGTCTACTGACTACTTAGCATACTCTCTGATACGCTCAGCCACTCTGAGCCTTTTATGCACATTACCCACTTGGGGTACAAAGCATGTATGAGGTAGAGGTCTCACTTATAGATGAGAACCAAGGCTTATGTAGGGTCAGTGAATTGTTCAAGGCCCCACAACTAGATATCCACTGGGCTTAGACTCAAGCCTAGGTGTATCAGACCCTGCAGGTAGTGGTTTGAGGAATTCTGCCTTGGAAACAGCCTTAGCTTAAGCCTTTATAATCTCTTTTGTGGATTACTCAATCAAGCTCCTATAATCCTCCTGCTACTTTCCTCCTTAAAATCTGTAGTAACTCCCATCATCTACTGACAAGATAAGGGCCAGACCTCTTAGCATGAGAACAAGGGGCTCTTCTTGATCTAGCTGACCCTATTTAGATCCTCACCTTCCCTTTTTCCTCCCTCCCCCTAGGGCTGGGTGACCAAGAGGGAAAATAAACTCACATTTAGGGTACCAGCAGCTTCTAGAAAGAATGTGTTTGAGTCTCTCCTTCCAGTGAAATATTTCATCACATGAAAAAGAAGCACTCTGGGACACTAGTATTGGTGTCATTTTCAGTTACGTACGGATGGCAGGAAGCTCCAAGGGATTCAGTGAGGCTCTGCTGGAGCTAGATGCTCCCAGTAGTATTTACCAGTTGCCTTGATAAGCACTGTATTCTCTGCTGAAAATGACCCTTCCTGAGCCACCGCCACCACCACCACCAGCACCACCTGCTCTTCAGGCTCTAAGATGGGACGTGTACCCATTGCCTGAGACGGGATCAGATGCTCCTTCTTTTGTGTTTCCAGAGTACTGTCATTTACACTTCTGTGTTTGCTTTTATCACCTGGGATTGCAGGTTAGTTAGTGTGCATGCCAGTCTGTGTTTCCCTTGTCCTGCTATTTTTAGGAGCTTTTTAAGAGCTCCTGTTGTGGTCATCCCTCATCCTTAGCACTGGACAGCGTTTCTGTAGGAATTCCATAAGCTCCATCTGAATGGGGCTTGTTCCCTGGTGTTTGGTTATGAGTGAAAGAATATGTGCATGCCTGAGGTGGCCTAAGGATTTGGTCTTTATTTAGTGTATTTAAAAATGCCTGCAATCGAAAAAAATTCTGAATAATTGTCATGAGTCAGGATTTCTGAGAAATAAACTGTGAGACAAAGACTTATGGGTAGGAAGCTGTTGCCGGGGGGCAGTGCGTGCCATCAAGGTCAGCATCTGGGGAGTGAAAGGAGCAGCGTCAGTGGAGGGAGGAGTTGAGCTGCTTTGCATTGTTCGCTGGAACTTCTGGGGCTGGGCTGGCCCTTCGGAGTCATCCGCCTTGAGGCAAGAAGGCCAGCTTGTCCTCTGCCCCCAACCAGTCACTAGATTGGAGCTAATCCCTGGGGAAGGACAGGATCGTAGACAGAGCAGCTGTCTTCAGCTGAGGGCTGTTTCCAAAGAGGAATTCCTAAGAACCATCATCAGCCAACACGCCCAGCGGCTGGGAGAATAAATGGCTTAGTCCTGAAGGGGGGACTTGGGCAGGGCACCACAGCAATATATTGAAGAGTGCACCTCTGAGAATAGGCTTTCAGTTTTAATGCAACAAAAGAAATGATTAATGTTGTTCCTATCAGTTAAAAACTTTAAAAGGTTTAAAGAAAAGTTCAGAACCTCTGTACAGCTTCCGGGCTCCAAGCTTGTTGAGTGAGAATACTGACTGCTGCCCTCGGGAGCTGTCCGGGGGAGGCCTGGCTCATGGAGTGTCTCATCCTTTTGCCCAGTGTGCCATACCAGTGTTCTCGCCTTCTATGTGTACAAGGCATGGAAAGGGCAGGGAAGTCTGATAGTCCTTTCTTCTGTCTCAAGGCAAGACTCCTCCTGGTGCCTAGGCTTTTCCCTCAGATCTCCAGGTGAAAGACTCCATCATATCCTTTGGGGACATGTTCTGGTGACTCCATTTTCTTAAGGTCTAAATGTTTGTGTTCCCAAAGAGAACAAAAATGTTAGTAAGCTAGTTCTGTAATTGAGGGGAAAAAATATATTTTGTGCAGGGGTTTTCTATGAGATATAGGCCAATCAGTACCTTATCAATATTACCACTAATTTGGGACTTGATAATTCAGGGGTACAAACTAATGGGAGCTGACCTTAGTGTTATCTCTGAAAAGGTCATTTGCTAAGCAGAATAACAGATGGTGGGGGTCACAGATGCACCCACTCCGATGTAAGAACCGGTCTAGAGAGAGGCCCTGTGAGCCAGCACCTTGTCCCATTTTTCAGATGCTTCTCCCATAGCTCGGGGGAGCCATATATCGGTTCCACAGTTAGTGAAAAGGAAAGATGCTCTTTCGAAAAACTGCTAAAGGATTTAGATTTTTTAATGTTAATAGTATACTGTATAGTATAATAATTTCTGGCTTCTGTCGCTAAGGATGATTCCTTTAGTGAGGGAAAATCTGGTTATCTAATCTGTGATTTCTAAAAATTAGAACTTTTGAGTTTTTTTATATGTGTGCAACACTCAGACTATTGTAGCATAAATTACGTGTGGAAAAGTATAGCGTCACTTCAGTGTTTTAAAAACCTGGCATCTGTCCTGATACATAAAAATGTGTGCATTTTAATAACCCACAGTGTCCTTAGGTTGACAGTGTGAACAAAGAAGTATAGTAATCGATCCTTTATTAAAGACAGTGAATAAAGTAGCTTAGTGAAGAAGTCTAGTGTTTCATTATTGCCTCTTAATTTTTTCCTACAGGACAAAGTTCCAAAACCATCAGTTCATCCCCAAGCACTGAAAGTTTGCCTGGAGGAAGAGAATTCACTGGCTCCCCACCTTCATCTGCTACTAAAAAGGATTCCTTTTTTAGCAACATCTCCCGTTCCCGCTCACACAGCAAAACTATGGGCAGAAAAGAATCTGTAAGTATTTAAGGACACTTTTCCTTTTATCCTTCATCTTCCTCTAGAGTACTGCATTAGTTAAAAGGCCTTCAGTACTGAGTTTTATAAAGCTCTTAACATGTCTACAAACTAAAACAAATAATTTCATCAAAATTTCTAACTTTTGTTATTATAACGTAGTAATATTTTAAGGCCACAGTCTGCATTGCACTGGGAGAAAAAAAAGCGGCAGCAGTTTAAAGTAAGTTGAATCCCAAATCTCCGTCCTTTCTTCCTCTGCAAATGCTTTTTTGTCAAAGCCTGCGTTTTTTTCTAAAATGTAACAAGTAGCATTATACCAAATAATAGATTAAGACACTTATAAAACAAACCACAGTGTTTTTTCAGTTTTAAGTTATTTCTTGAAAATTAATTATTTTACCACTTGTTTTAAAAAAGTGACACAAATTACATCTACATGATGGTATGTTGATAGCTACTCTCTAAGATCCTTTGTATACATTGCTCAGAAGGACATATCTAAAGCATATCAATCACTTTAAAAATCTGGTTGTGTCTGAAATTGTTTTTACGCCAACTTCACAAAAATTAAAACATTTAGCCACATCTTCTGGGTAATTCAACACCTAGTATTCTAATATGAAGAATCCATCTGCCCACTGGAAGAAGATGCCCATATAAGGTATTACAGAAAAGGATCTAGCTATTACTGAACTAGTTCTAAATTAGAAGACAACAAAACTTTCAAACCTTTGAGGGACCATTATTTATGGTACGTAGAGCAGATAACCGCATGATGTCTACTTGTATGACGGGGTAGGACTTTGGGCAGGATACTCAGATTCCTGGTACTTCAACTCTGTCATCTACAAATGAAACAACACACTTTGCCCTCTGAAGGGAAGAGTTCACGACATAGTCTCTTGGAGTCCCTTTCACATGTGACAACTATGATTCTCTGATTTGTAGAAGAACAGAATGGAACTCTCATTTAAAGATGGCAGCTTTAATGCAAGCAGTTAGCTCTGCTCCCTCCCTCCCTCTACTCCAAGGACAGTCAGGGTTGTTAAAGGTAAACCCTCAAGGAATAAGAAAACAGGAGAAAAGATAGTAACAAGATTTTGTTCCTTGTAAAACAGATGTTAAGTGGTAACTGACTTAGCAGCCTAAGAAAACTAAACGTTAAGTCAGCAGTAGGTAAAAACCAAGAAGGAACTTGACTTAGATTGTAAACTCCTCTCGAAGCTCAGGAGCTGTAAATGGAATGAAGTTGGAACTTGCTCTTCAAGAAGCAATTAGAGGAATGAGTGAAACAGGTGATGGGGATGAAGGAGGGCCCTTGTTGTGATGAGCACCGGGTGATGTATGGAACTGCTGAATCACAATATTACACCTGAAACTAATATAACACTGTATGTTAACTGTACTGGAATTAAAACAAAAGAAAAAAGCAAGTAGATTCCCTTTCCCACTCTGGCAGAAGACTGGAGGTTTACTCCTCTGGAAAGTGTAAAACAGAATGTTTCCAGACTGAGAGAGGTCAGGCGCATTTGAGTACACCCTACCAGAAGAGGAATGATGGATATATTTAAATACTGAATCTGAGATCCCCAGGCCTCACCCCACTTGCTTCCCAGAATACCAGGATGTCTGTCCCTTCAGGCAGGAGATGAAAAGAGTATTCTCTAGATAAAAGTTATAAATTTTTAAAAACACACAAATATACTGACCTTAGGTGTTGTCCAGGGAAACAGCCAGTTCACTTTAGAGTGGACCCACCCTTCACAGCTCTATCCACACACAGAACTTTCTCTTAGCTTTTAGTTCAGACTACTTTACATGAGCAGGACAGCCAGGGATCACCAGATACTTGAAGAGAGCATCTGTTAGTTAAAGACCAGCAAAAGCAAATAGAAGAAAGTAACTGGGAGAAAACAGTTTATGTAGTGGAAGAACGCTTCAGAAAGAGAGAGAAAGAAAAAAAGAAAGAAAACATTTATTCAGAGAGTAAGGACAAAAGCTATTAGATATCAAAATATGATGTCTGAAATGTAAAGCTTAGTAAATGAGCTGGAATTGACAAAATTGAGGAACTCTCCCAAGAAAACAAAATACAAGACAGAAATAGAAAGTAAGGGAGAAAAATAGAAGAAAATTAGAGAACCAACCTAAGAGGTTCAAAACCTGAAAAATAGAAGTTCCAGAAAGAGAGAAGAGAAAATGAAAGGAAGGAGATAATCAAAAATATAATTAATTAAACATTCCACTTATGAAAGACCGGAGTTTTCAGATTGAAAAAGTCCTAGAAAGTCCCACACAAGTAAAAATAAACCCACACCCAGATACATCACTATAAGAGGTCAGAACTCTGAGAACAAAGAGATATCCTCCAAATTTGTAGAGTTGAGGGAAAAGAAGGATTTCCATCAAAGGATCAGGAATTAAAATAGCTACAAATTGCTCATAGGAACAGAAGAAGCAAGGCAATGGAGGAATACCTTTAAAGTTCTCAGAGAAAATTACTTCTGGCCTCGATTCAATACCTCACCAAACTAATTGTGAGGTTAGAATTAAGCCACTTTCAGATAGTCAAGATTCAAAAACCTTATTCCCACGTACCCATTCTCAGAATCCACTGGAGGATGTGATCTACAAAAATAAGGACATACACTAAGGATGGGCAATACCTGAGAACAAGGAAAATGGAGTATCCAGAGCAAGACAAAAAGATTCCTCAGAATGATAATATGGGGAGATTCCAAAACTAAATAGAGCACAGCTATTCAGCAGGTCCAGAGAGCAGTAGCCAGCCCAGGTTGGAGCAAGTCAGAAGGTTCTAGAAACTTTTCTCCAAAAAGATACTATTTGGGGAACAAGTAATATATTTGAACAAGTTAAGAGATTTAAACTAGGAGTGAGTTTGGGTTTGAATTAATGATGACTTTATAGAAACTAAGCCACTGAAACACAGGACAGTTTGTAACTCCAAAGAAGAACAGAGGAAGAAAGGTTATGATAAGCCTTGTAACTGAGCCATGACTAGAATTTACATAGACATTATAATGAAAGCCTATTGACTATTAATCTAATCAAAATCATGGGGGGAGGGGCACCTGGGCAGCTCAGGCAATTGAGCATCCAACTCTTGGTTTCCGCTCAGGTCATGATTTCTTGGTCATGGGATCGAGCCCCTTATCAGGCTCCGCACTCAGCACAGAGTCTGCTTCAGATTCTCTCTCTCTCAAATAAATGAATAAATAAAATCTTTTTTAAAAAATCATGATAAAATTCTGTGGAGAATATTGGGTGTGGGAACTGTGTGTTTGCATGGGGAGGGGAGTGAGCAGGTGGTAGTGGTCACTAGACCTAAATCTTTATCTTCCATAGTGAAAAATAAGTGTGTAATAGTCTCTAGAAAAAGTAAAGAGGTAGCAATATAAGCTAGAGATATTGAGATGAAAAAAAATGGGTAAAAGAATTGAAAGTGGTTCCTTCTGGAGAGCAGGAAGTAGAGGGTGGGGCTGTGTGAACTGTTTTTCATAACAGGCCTTATAGAACCATTTGACTCTTCAAAGTGTTATATATATAACTTAGATTAAAAATAATAACTAAAAGTCACAACAAAAACAGAATGTATTGGCATAATAAATTAGAAGAGATGTCTGCCTGTACAAAGAACATGTCTAGGAAGAACCAGAATAAGGAATAATAAATGAAAAAGGCATATGGAGACATGTTTCATTTGCATTCTATCATATTTTGGTGGCATATGGATTAGTCTGCGACACCAATTAATTACTTTTCTTTATGGTGATAACTGTAACTTAAAACTGAGAAGTCAGGCAAAAATAGAAGTAGAGTAAGTCTAACTCTCTACGTAGACCTGTTATGTACCAAGAAACGGAATTAAAATTATTATTCAAAATTTAATATATTCTCTAACTGTGGGAAGTAAGTAGGCAGAAATTTTCAAGAGAAAGCCCATGGTTTTTCAATAGGTTATCTGATTATTTTATGAAATAAGGTAGTCCATTCTCTCTGCCAGGTAATTCCAGTTCTCCCCCATTCTAAGGCACTTGGTAGGATTGCACCTCTTTGTCTCCCGTGAGCTGTCAGACCCACATGACTAGTTCTGGCCAGTGAGTTGTAAGGAGAAGTGATGTGTATGTATTTACCACTACAAGATCTTCCTCAGCTCTCTCTTTCCCTCTGCCAACCCCCATGATAGACTTGAAGTGTGAGTGAGAAATAACCTTCACTGATTTATGCTGAGACTGTCGCTTATCACACCCTAATGGTACACAGTTGGAAATGTTCAGGCCCATAGGTGGGAACCATTCTCCCATGGGAGCCACATACCACCATTGAGTTGCCACCCCGATGGCACCAGAGCCCATGACTGGGCCCCCACCATCCTTGGGCCTATTTTGCTTTCATTTTCAGCCCAGTTTGGTATGATACAGGGGTATTCCATGTCTTCAGAAAAGCTCAAAATTGTTTTTCATTAACATCATCATCATCGGTTTCTCACATAAGCAAGTAGCCAGAAATTAAAGCAAAGATACCTCTTGCTTTGGATCCCCAGTGCCTTAAACTATATGTATCTTGCAGATTTCAGGACTCCACTGATCTTTTAAAGTGGCCCAGGATCAAGAAGTTGTTAATGTCAGTTAGCAAAAGGTTAAAATAGCAGTGGAAAACAAACATTGAAACAAAACAATCTGGTAGTTGCTATCAACCTCAGTGTGGCAAAATCTGCTTATAGTGGTCCTAGTGTAATCATTGAGAAATGATTTTCAAAATCACTATGTGTGACATATTTTGGACAAGCATCATATCTTAGGTCATAGAACTTATTTCCTCTCAGTATCATCTTTTTATGTATCATAGAAAGCCTTTCTGTAATTCATGGACTGTCTCCTTCAGATGAAGGTATATCACATTTATTCCTATCAATGCCCCTGATTTGGCCACATGATAGAATACAAAACTCAGCTAAGTCTTTAAAGAGGTAACAC